AGCTGCTCTCCCATATCTTCTGTAACTGATTTGAGGACATTTACACCTCAGTCCAAACATCTGTGGCTGCAATTCCACTCCCACGTGCCCACACCCCGCATCTGCAAATGCAGGACCTCGGTTTAAGCACAACACGGCCCAGCAGTGTACGCAAGTCTCTAGACTTTTATGCCCTAAATGCACTGCGGAATTTCCACAGTGCATACAAAATTACTCATGACAGAAAACATTGAGGGACCATCCTCCCCCCTCCCTCTGTGAATACCAATGAGAAACATAGCGAGAGGTTTTCTTTTGCTTCCCGATCGTAGTGAGGAAAGGGAATTTTAAACCAACATGTTTTGTGGGAGGGAAAGGGAAAGTCACTGCAAAATGTTGAAGACCAGGGGTGCAAGTACATACTTGTATTAACATTTCCCATCCCTGGAGCTGCAGTAATTTGCATGACATTATCTACCTGGGATGTTGCTATGGTTATCACCATACATAAGTAATTACCAGGGCAAATTGCACATACAGCACACGGATTCACACTGTCAGAAGCAAAGGATCTTTTTATGCACTTGAAAATGTACATGTTCGAAAAAAACACTGATCACAAAGATTCCTGATACAAGAAAAACTTCAGGAGTGCTCCAAAATTCTTGTTAACTATGTTTATTGACACCTAAAGTCAGGACATGTCCAGGTGAAGAGAGACACTGCACAGGCTCAGTAGAAAATCAGCAGAAACAACACCAGTAGTAGTAAGCAGAAAGCAATCAGCAGGAACAGTAGAAATCCCTGCCAAAAAGCTTACAGTAGAACCAGATGAGAAAGGCAAAGAGAAGAAGTGATGTATCAGAGCAAATAGATTGTCAGCTCCATTGATAGCACAGGCCATGATTATTTTGGGTAGATTATGTCATGAAATTTTCTTCTGGCAACTAGGCACAAAAAGATGAATAGAAGAGAAGGAGGAGAGGGTGATGTAGACTTACACCCATGCTGAGGAAAAGACAAGAGATACGGTGTTGTGATGAAGTCAGGACAAGCCAAAACTAAGTCTAACCAAAGTGGTTCTCTGAAAGTTCCCCTATTTCCCCTCCTGCAAAGTTTCTGCTGGTGTTTGCAGGCTGGGATCTGATTGTGCTCTGGGTGGATTCCAACGGGAGCTGAGGCAAAAGTTACAGTCCATCTACACTTGTACACCCAAACTGGAGAGAGTAATTAACACCCAGCAGAGTCTGGATGAAAGTACAAACACAGAGTATTTAATGCTAGGTGATACAAAGTAAATTAGACGTTAAAAGCTCATTCTGAAATAGTGATACTGTTACATTTCCAATAAAATAAAGCTGTACTGTAAAAAAACAGTTTGAGCTGCAGTCTATTGGTGTCTGTGAAAACTTTCCTAAAGTTTGAAGAAGGTGTTCTCTGACCTCAGGAAAAGAAAAAGCTTTAAAAAATAGTGCTGATACTGTGACCTGAGTAAAACACATTAGGCTAACTAGAACATAAAATATAATTATGGAATATAAAATAATTCTGAAAAGCACAAAATATGTTTCTATAATTTAATTTGAGGTGGCATTCACAAGTCTTATATCCATTCAAACCAAGCATATTTTCTGTGTACAGAGAAATATTGCAATTATTCCAGATTTACAAACTATAGTAGAATTGAGGAGAAAAAAAAAAGTTATATTTTCCATTTGTAGCTTCTCTTAAAAACAAGTTCTTTTGTTTACTTAGAAATCATCTGCTTCTCTCAAACATATCTTTTTAGCTCCTAGTAGTACCAGGATACTATAATGCCATCAAGTATTTTGACTATTTTAGCTGCTAGAACTAGAAAAACATGCTGATAGATGTATGCTTTGAGAGGAGCTTTGCTCTGGAAGCGTGACAAGAGCAGGTATGAGCCAGCAGGCAGTCAGAAAGCACAGCAGCCCTCAGGGATCACTTGCATGGCCTCAGGGAATTATTAATCACATTAATCACAATTAATGATGTCCAGAAACACTGGCTAAAGATGCCAGATATATGTAACCTCACTAGGATAAAGGCATCCTGAAGACAAAGATGTGAAATAAGCCATCTCAGGCTTTATCCCGGTGACTGGATGCCCACGGTGACAGGAGTATTGTAACTCTAAATATATTTCATACAGAACAGTTTGTTGGCTTTAAATATATCAGTGAAAGGGAAAGTAAATATGTGAAGAGCAAAATGCAAGATGGAAAAAGTGAGATAAATATTGTTAGATTCAGAGGAAAAATGCTATAAACAGTAAGCAAAGCTCTTTGATTTGCACTGTTTTCCAGCCCATAAAACCCTAATATCTGCCAGCGTTTCATTAAAAGCTTATGAACTACCCAGCATGCCTGCTCCTGCAGAAATATATTGCTAAAAAACATTGTAGATGTTGCAGATCTGGTATTTTGCAATGTTTCAAAGAAACCTTATGTGTATAGAACTCAGATGCATTATTGAAAGAAGTGTGGATGGTGAAAATAGCCCCACAAACTCTAAAACGAATTAATCATTCAAGAGCAGTAAGTTTCTCTGAGAGATGTTCAAAGTAGTATCTCTAAACCAGAAAATACAAATATTTTAAGAAACAGGCATTGTGGATAAAGGACTTAAGAGAAAACTACCATTTTGTGAATTGAGTAAAAGGAGTCAAAGGCATGTCTTCACAAAGGATTGAGAATTCAAGGTCACGACAGCCCAACAGCAAAATCTGTAAATGTTAATCTGAGTGATACAAAGATCTGGCAATGCTAAGACTGACCAGATCAACAACTGTTCTGACTGAATGTGCAGCCTATTCTCAGCATTACAATCTCAGACTTCAGCCCTCTAAGGACAAGTAATGGCAATATCATTCCTTTTCCACAAGAAGTCATATTGGATCAATCAAATCTTTATTGTTATTACTAATGGTCCCGAACCGAGTCTGGAGGGATCAGAACACTCATGATTTCCCATCTTTCATAAGACCACTGCATTTCAGGGCTCGTTCTCACTGGCACCCAAACACAGGGCAAAATTAAAATGTTCCGACGGGCAGAACCCATATCCCTGAGGCAAAGCCTCCCAGTGTCTGGAGGCTTTCCAGTGAACGACCATGTATGCACTTAGCCCGTTCTGCACGGCTCTCACTGCAGTCGCCTCACAAAAGTGCCTCCAAATTGTTCTGACAACAAAACATAGAAATTCATTTCCCACATCCCTCAAATAACTTCATATCTCTCTGCTGCTAAGATCAAGCATCAAGCTGATGTTTGATTACAACACTGACAGGGTGAATGGGCAGTGAAGCCTACCTGTTACTCATGCAAATGACTCGTCTCTTAACTAGCAGCACACTCCAGCACTTGTGGATATGCAAGCTAAAAATTCAGCACCTCAGCACAAACCCACCTCTAGAATAACATAATAGATGTAGGAAGCAGAGACAGAAATATCAGAAGACTGAGGCACAGAAAAGAGACATTATTATTGCACAAATATGAGATTCCTGAATATGTTAACCAACACTTGGTTTTGAAGGTATATGCTTAGTAACAAGCAAATAAACAAACCCAAACATAGTAGGATTACATCTCAATAGCTTTGAAAGTTCAAACACAGCTGGTCTGATCATTTTCAGGCTGCCACACGCACATCACAGCTCTCACCAAATGGCACCGCAGTAATTGCTCAGCTGTGGATGCACAAACACCCCCAGAGGACAGACTGTCCAGGCCTATGGGGCAGCTCTCATGACTGAGATCCAGGGGGTGCATTACTGTTCTTCTCTGTCTAATGAAGTCACAAACCAACATATTTGACTGTTTAAATGGTTGAAATCTGCTGTTGTTGCCAATGGTTCTGAGGCAAACCAGCACTAGCCCTGCACGGCCTCTCATTTACTCTTTGCTCGAGTCACAAAAGGCAGAAGACAGCACACGTGGAAATCTCCAACACCACATTTCTGTGGTCATTACAACCAAATCCTCTACCAGGCACAGCTCAGCTAGGCATGAGGTTTAGGTCAAAAGGAGTTCTACCAGTGTTAACAACAGCACAAGGGGAAGCTGTGGTCTGGTGCAGCATCTTGCACATCCATGTCAGTGGTACACCCAAAGGCCACATCAGACGTGGTTTATATACCCTGTGGGCTGGGCTGACAAATCAGCTGCTGTAATTTGGAAGAGTAACACCCTCAGTGTCCAAAATAACAATGGACAGCCCGGCCTTGGTGGTGGAGCACAGTTCACCACAGGACCCCTCAGCAACAGGGTCATTACCCTTCAATGTACTGCACACAATGACAACCTGTATTTTTTGAGTTGTGAATGATGTGTATAACATAGGAAAAAGAATCATACTGGGAAAAGGAATCAATTACCTCTGCCTGGAGACTTTCACAACTATGAACAAAATAAATTTCACTTTAGGCAAAACAAACTAAAACCTTTTTCTTTGCCATATAGTTTGGGCTTCCCCTCTCCTACATTTTCAGGATCCCGAGTTCCGTTACAGTGATGCTGACAGTAACCCCATCACGGTAAATATCCTTTGTGAGAGTGCTGGCAACCTTTTCCTCCCCGCACTTTTGGGGCATTGACACTCAAGACAGCATGGAGGGGTTTGTTTGTATTAAAATCACACTTTTGTCCCAACCGATTCAGGATGACAGCACAAACCACCATCAGCCTGGCACTCTGGATGAACGAGCAGCAGCGGCGGGACAGCCACAGCCGCACCCCCTGTTTCGGCTGTGTTTATCAGGCTGAACTGGGGGGCTGCGGCGATGACCGAGAGGATCGGCCCCTCCGCTGCCCGCGGCCCCTCCGCTGCCCGCGGCTCCCCGTGAGGGCTCTGCCCGCGGCCCCGGCCCCGCTGCTCGGGCCCCTTTGCGGACGTGGCGCAGCCGGGCCGGGCGCGCTGCCAATGGCCGGGCCGGGGGAGGAGCGGGCCCGGGGCGGGGCGGTGCTGGGCCGGGCGGGCAGCGGAGGGGAGCCGGGCTGTGGGAGCCGGGCCGGCGGGGCATGGCGGGCGGCGGGGCGCTGAAGGCGCTGCTGCCGCTGCTGTTGGCGGCGAGCGCGCTGGGCAAGCCCACGGTGCGGCAGGAGCGGGCCCGGCCCGGAGCCGGGCAGCACGAGGACCGGCCCGGCTTCCAGTACGACCACGAGGCCTTCCTGGGCAAGGAGGAGGCGCGGAGCTTCGACCAGCTCAGCCCGGAGGAGAGCCGTGAGCGCCTGGGGTGAGCTCCCGGCCCGGGCGGGAGACGTGGCAGGGGGAGGGCCCGAGGTGGGCCCGGGACGGAGGAGGAGGCCTGGGGCTGCCTCAGTGTCCGAGGGGGCAGCGGGACCCTTCCCACCCTGAGGGGCTTGTGCAATGTACCTGTACCCCAGAGCGGTGCCCTGAACCGCAGTGTGGGACCCTGTACCCCAGAGCGGTGCCCTGAACCCCAGTGTGGGACCCTGTACCCCAGAGCGGTGCCCTGAACCCCAGTGTGGGACCCTGTACCCCAGAGCGGTGCCCTGAACCGCAGAGTGGCCTGTGGGTCGAACTTCTGGGTTTCTACTTCTCTCACACCCCGCTGGTTTTGCAAAGGAGCAGCCAACAGTTCATGGCTTTGGTTTTTTTTCTCTCCTGCCTTTTCTTACTGCTCCACAGCAATAAGCCTCGCGGAGGGAGATGCTGTACCGGGTGTTGGACCTGCTGCCGGAGGGCTTTGCTGCTGCAGCCTCTGAGACACCTGCCCACACCATATCAGTGCTAATCGAGTTTAAACCATTCCTTCTACGTTTACAGGTCCACTTCAAGCATCCTCCCACAGCTTTCCCACTTGTAACTTCTTTGCTTACTGTGTTTGAGTTGCTGTTATTTCCATGCTGCTCTTTGTGCAAAGACCAGGGATCCTGCCTTTTCCCTGCTTTGCACGTACAGGAAGCCAGATCACTAAGCAGAACCAAATTTTATAGGAGTTAAAGAAAGATCCTTTAATGTAGTTACTGCAAAGACGATTGTTTAAAATACCTGCCTGTTTTCACTAAGATTTCCCCTGCCTTCGCTTCCACAGGGAGTGGCACTTGGTAATTTTCTGTCTGGTCCTACCATAAGCAGTAGCACTGTAATCTCACTGAGTAACCTCTCGATCCTACTGAAAGCTGTCACTACTATTTACATGTTTTAGTGAGTAAACAGATAAAGTGATCACCAGAAATTATCAACTTCATCCTCATTGTTTCAAGAAGGAGCAAGGAAACCATGCTCTCATCATGTGTGATCTATGACCTAGATTCTCATGAGCTTTATCACCAAAATGGACATACCCTCCTAATATTTGTTTGCACTTACTACTACAGATAATTCAGTCAGGGATATGATTTAACAATAAAGCTGTTTTTAAATAATTTTTACAAATGTTAACTCAGCAAGGGAAGTTTTAGCTTCCAGTGATCTCACTGATTGCTCTTTGGAGGGGTACATTAAACAGGCACATTAAAGTACAGCCACAGTCAATAACCTTTTAAATGGAGGTGGCTGAAGTGGCCCTCTGTTGTGGGGTGAGCACTGTGCATCACAATATCAGGGATGTGGTTCCTGGGGGACTTTGGGAAAGTTTCATGACTTTAAGCATTTCCCAGCCTTGTAATTTTGGATAGCAGCCCACTGGAAAGTAAAGAGAGCATTTAAAAAAAAATCTTGTGGCTTAATAGTCAGATATACTGAACCCCTTCCCCCCATTTTTGTTATGGGCAACTTCTGTAGTGGGTTACAGAGTCACTTCTCAGCAAGTGATTGGCATTTAGGAAGAAGGCAGATTTAATTAAAAGCTATTTTAAAATGATTTCTGGGAGAAAACAAACACACAGTCTGCTGCTCTAACCAGAGTGCATGCTGCTGTATTTATAAGCATATTATATATTTTACCTTGCCTAGGAAATGTGGCAGCACATTGGTCATCCCAATAATAACAGTAAAATTGAGGTCCACAGTCCATACAACAGCTTTTTATCTGTGCCTTTGGGAGCCTGTAGGCAAGACTGTTTCACTGTCCCCATCTTCAGCTGAGAAGTGGGGTGGAATAGTGCACATGGATGCCATGCTCCTATAAAAACAGGTGAAAAGGAGGAGGCATGAAACATTTTCTGGTACACAGTCCCAACTTCTTTCATGTTCTACATTGCCAAGAGCTACTATCATAATCATTTAATACCTTAACAGTAGAAAGAAATACCAGTTAAACAAATGAAATGAAATTCATTGTGGGGAAAATCTGGTGACAAGTAGAGTCCATCATGCAGGGAAGGAGACCACTGGCAACAGATTGATACAAAAGAGAAAAGGTTTTCTAGTCAGTTAATTCATTCTTTACTAATTCAGAAAGGAAATTCAGCAGCACCTTTTTTGCCTCATAACTCAGAAACAGCGTGTTTATAAATTCAGTCTGATACTATCAGACTCACACAAGATTGCTGAAAGTTCTGCAGAAGCTGCTGCTGTTACTTCAGCAACCACTTTTGTAACAAAGGCTTGGGAAGAGACATTGCTTCCCTACTTGAGCAGTTTCAGTTGGCCAAGTGTGGTTTCTTTGTGGAGAACCAAGATGTGGAATTGAAAAGAATGTTTAAAAGTGCAGATCTTTTTCCCCTGTGTCGTGTGGCTGTCTGCCTGGAGGTTTAGGGAGCTCACCTGTTGAATGTCAAGTGAGGATTTAGACAAGCCAGCTCCTGCTCTTACCCCTGCATTCCAAGTCTGTTCCATGGGCAGGAGCTGGCCACTGCAGGAGGCGCAGAGCACCTGCAGACAGTGTACCCCTGCACCTCATGGGCAGGGTGAAGGGTGCTGATGTGCCTAAAGGCAATCTGGATGTGCCAGAGAACCAAGGTGGATGTGCTCAATTCCAAGAGCAGGGACAGAAGCCAATTTTACAAGCTCAGCCCCAAAATGGTGGAGTTTATCAATTGCAGAGAGATTAATTGCAGAGAGATTAGTTGCAGAGAACATAAATGGTATAGAGAGAATTGTCCTTTTTTTTTTTTTAACTGCAGCTGTGTGCAGAATGTTTCACTCCTGCTGATCAACAGTGCTTGAGGCTGGCAGCTTTACAGTGGACAGAGGTTTATAACCCAGCTGCCAGCAGTGGCTGCTGCAGACTTGATATTGCTTTAGTGAGAAACAGGCATTCCTGGCAGCACCAACACTGGTTTCCCTTGGGAATGAAAGAAAAGAAACAAGTGGAGGGACGAGCTTAGAAGGGGAGACTACCTGGTGTACATCCCCAGTGTTATACAGTCATATAACTCACTTCACCATGGTGTCAATCTGCTGGAAACCCAAAGGAGAAACTGTAGGTGTCCACCAAGTCCTGGATTTTTGCCCTGGTTGCTTCCAGCAAGTTTGAGTACAGGCTTTGTCCTGAAGTGAAATTGGTGTTTCCTGCTCTGAGCCAGCACTGTAGGCAGTGAAGAGCAGGTCCCCCTAAGATAGGAGGCACAGCCTAAGAAAGCCAGGTGTTCTCTGCTCACTAATTGTGGTTGTGCAAGTTCCCTTTGAATTATTCATAGCAATTCTGAATAACGAATAGAGACATATTCCTTAAGATGATGTGTGAAATACAGGAAAGCCTTAATCAGTAGGACAGCTTTAGGAATTTGGGGCACTCTGTTTTTGTGGAAAATCAGGGCCAGATAAAGATTACTAGAATTGGCCTGACATGCAGTTTGGTTTTCTGCCAGCTTAAAAATGCTGATCTCTTTTCACAGGAAGATTGTGGATAGAATAGATGACAACAAAGATGGCTACATCACAACAGAGGAATTAAAAAACTGGATTAAACGAGTACAGAAACGCTACATCTATGAGAATGTGGCTAAAGTCTGGAAAGACTATGATCTAAACAAGGATGATAAAATTGCCTGGGAAGAATACAAACAAGCCACATATGGTTATTATCTAGGTAAGAGAAATCTTCCAATTGTATGATCAAGGATTTTTGAGATTATAAAATATGATTTCTTGCCTTGCAGTCAACAGGAGTTTGATGTCACATTTAGGACTCTTGAAGCTCACATTAAATTTTATAGATGCTCAGAGGTCAAAAGCACTTTTTAGTTATTTATTGCAGCCCTTTGCACATGGGTCACCAGCACACTGAAGGTTTTGTTGACGTATCATTAAATATACTGACACAGCTGAATTATTAAAGTCTCCTCCAGTTAGAAATATATTATTTTTTAACATTAAAAAGGGTACTTTAATTAAAAAAAATATATTGTCTAATGAACTCTATTTGTGAATTTAGTCTCTAAAATCTTAAGTCTAGATGTTAAAAATTTAGTCTGTCTAAGCTATAGCAAAGTTATTGATTAAAATCATTCTTGCAGAATAACACACTTCAGACTGTGATCAACTGCAAATGAAAATCCTTAACAAATCAGGCAAAAGAAACATTTATTAAAAAATATACCTGAATTCCCCCACCCCCCTCCACGTTCCCTTTGCTTTTATAAGTTAATGAAGGAAGAGGAAGAGATCACTTAAGCTAAAGGGCAATACTGACAGAGCAACAAATCAGTATTAATTGACCATTTATACTTACTGGAAATGAGAAGACAATATTTACCTACCACAGAGGCAGTTTCTAGAGCAAGCTTCCTGTAGCAGTAATAATTCTAAAGTCTACCTTAGATTAAAATGGAGTTTGTTGCGTTTGTGAAAGGCAATATTTGGCACACAGTCCCTACAGAATTATGCCTGGAATCCTTCTCAGCCCTTTGTCTTTGCTCCCTCTTAACCCCAAGATTTGGGGAGCAGCATTGTGGGCTTGCATTAATGAATACTTAAAATTTTCATCTGTAATTCCTGGTCTAGTCTTTTTCACCTGTGTTTGTCTCCCAGCATACAAATTGTGAAATTGTTATGAGTATTTTTCATTTTTAAAGTCAGTTTAATGATCCTATTAAAAAAATTATATCAAATACCGTTCCTTTTATGCCACTGAACACCCTGAAAAAATGTAATTGTTTTAAACTGAAAATAATTGTTAGGTTTCCTGTAGCAGAGGCGTAGCACTGAGATAATTTCAGTCAGTCTGCCCCCTTCTGAAACCACATTTCCTTGATTTGCTGTTCTTGAAACTTAAAAGTTGTGTGGTTCATATTGATTCCTAAAGAAGAAGGAAACTTCTGTGAATGAAGTCTACCCCAAATACTGCCTAAGTGATGCTTGTAAAGGCAGATAAAAAAATCTGTGAGGGATAATATACAATTTTGCAAAATCCATTCTTCTGGATTGCAACAGAAGGCTTGCTCAGAAATCTATCTCTACTACTGTCACCTTTAAAAATCAAACCAAGTACTTGAGCCCTGAATTTAAAACTTCCTGGGGAAGAGAATTTCCATTTAGAACAACAGGTATTCTGGCAATAAACGTTTTTAGCTTTGTTTTGCTGGTGTGTTTTAAAGGAAAACACTTCTGAAATCATCTTGATTCGTTTGCAGAGAATCCAGAAGAATTCCAAGATGCAACTGATCAGCATAGCTTTAAGAAAATGCTGCCCAGAGATGAAAGACGATTCAAAACTGCAGATCTGGATGGAGACTTGGCTGCCACTCGTGAAGAATTCACTGCTTTCCTTCACCCAGAGGAGTTTGAGCACATGAAAAACATTGTTGTCTTAGTAAGCAAAGCAAAATCAATGCCATTGTTCCTACTTTTATGGATGAACTTTGAAGGCTTCTCTAACCTTTCCAGGCAGGGTTTAGAAAGAGACACACATAATAGCTAAATGGGCAACAGAAAGGGGTGCCTTTTGTGATATCCACTTGATTTAGAAGTATCAATATAAGAAAGCCTTTTTAAGTGCACTTAGCTCCTAAATGGAATCAAGAAACAATCTTGGGGCACAGACTTAAACTAAAATAAAAAGAGAGTGTGCTGACATGCACACACACATGCAGCTGAGTGTTTCATGCAAGCTGGTATCTGCCCCTAACATAAGCAGTTCATTCATACAGGGAATTTTTCCAACATGAAAGGATATTTGTATATTCATTGTGTAAACAACAGTCACACTGGGTTTAGTGAGACTACATTCACTTGTGTACAGGGGCAGGTCAAGGCCTCAGAACATCAAATGATCAAAAGCAGGTAGTCAGAGCTCTCAGTTTTTTCTAGATTACTTTCATGCAAAATTGTTTTCCAGGAAACCTTAGAAGACATAGACAAAAACGATGATGGTTTTGTGGATCAAGATGAGTACATTGGTAAGTGTTGTTACTTGTTTCTGATATAATCTCCAGTCCATTTTCCCATCTTCTCTCAAATTTGCAGCAGCTTTAACAAGCCAGAGTGAACAGTTCAGCCTTCCAGTTCAGCTATTTCACACCAACCATCCCACCCAGAAAGTTTAATTTCATTTTAGGTAGATATCAACATGACCAGGAAACGTTCCTCATGCTTCACAGCACAAAATTCTCCTTTTGTTGTCATTTAACTCAGCTAAGAGTTACATCAGAACAAAAGAAGAGAATCTGGATTAATATTTTTCATGTCAGGAATAGTCTTTGTATATTACACCATGTTAACTGCTGCTTGAAGGCATTGTTTAGGAATGAAGGAGGATCAGAAAATGAATTAGTCTTTTCTCAAGTTTGGATGGTTCTCAAATACCCAAAACACCTGGGAAGCAACCACTGCAAAAAGAGAAAATTCACCTTGTTCCTACTAGTTTTTTCCCTAGTTTAATTAGTAAGTAAAGCCCATTCTTCTGTAGTGATGATACCGTTGTATTTTGATGAGTTTTAAATCCAGAAAGTAGGACTAAGAAGGCATTAGTGCAAAGTTGGATGAACCTTTCTGTTTCTAGTGGTGCTATAAAGATCACTTCACATAGAATCAGGAACAATATACACACACTAATTAATGGCAGGGGGTTCTGTTCCTTGTAAATTATATTTAGCCCAGAAAGTGAATGCTATTCATCTATGACTGAAATAACAGAGCAGCATAATTTCCACAGTAATTTCAGTTCATTCAGTGACATTACCTACATATAATTATAAGGTAATTGTCAACATTTGTTACCATGTGAATGCTGGTTTTTCTTGTCTTCTATAGATAGGAACATAGAATGTTCTAGTCACGATCACCCCACATTGGCAAGGATGATAAAAATCAAATTGACAGAACATGTCAGTTGCTTCAAATAAACAATATAATTTGCTCTTTAAAAAATGAAAAAAGAAAGTGAATGTGTTGTCTGAAGTTTTCTTCATGAGTTGAAAAAACTATGCTTAAAATACTCCTACTTTCCTTCTTCAGATTTTTTTTTTTAAATTTTGATGAAGTTGGGATTAAGAAACCAACAGAAAACAAAATCTCTTCTTTGCTACTTTATAAGGGACAACAAAAAGATGTCTAAAAATTTCAGTCTCTAGATATGGAGTACTGGGGAGATTTGCTGAAGCTTAGAGAATGATCCCACCCTCCTTTTCCTTCTTTCTTCCCATTTTGTCTTTCAAAAAATTTGGTTTATATTTACACAAGCAACAGAGCAAAATACCTATAAAATTGTTGAGCAGAGGGTACTAAATTCTCACTGTGCATGGGCAGGTAACAGAGTATTTCAGGGACACTGGGGACAGTGACAATGGAGAACCTCAGCCTAGTGTGTACACTCACACTGCAGGGTCAGGAGGGTTATTCCTGCCTTTGAATTCAGCATTTCTGTTTCCCACAGATACCATCCAGCCCCTGACCCTCACACCATCCATGTGGGTACACTTTTCCTTAGCACATCCTTGAAAACCAAATCCAAAAGACACTGGAGAGGAGAGAAATAGTATCACAAAGCAGGCTTTAATTCTAAATAGAATAGTGGAAGGCTTGAGGAATAAGCAGTTCTGATGAGCAGGAGAGGATTTGCCACAGTGACCAGAACAATGTTATGGACACACCACTCCTGATTTGGAAAGCCCTGTGATGTAAAGAACGTTTAGAAGTCAGTTGGTTTTAATAATCACTGCTACTCTCCCGTGTTTATGCAGAAAGCAGCTGCCACTGTGGCGTGGTCCTACCAAAGCCTCCAAAATGTAGCACAGGAGCGATGTGCAGAGCAGCTCGTGTGTGATCTCTGCATCCTGTGTCACAAACAGTGCTCCCTGCCCAGGTACCAATCTGTGACAAGTGCACTGTGCCTGTGGTTCCTCACAGAATGCACCATGATTCATGACTTCTCCAGCTTTCTGGAAGAATGTCATCTCCTGGAATGTGCTGTAGCACTGCATGGTTAAAAGAGAACTGATCTAATAAGCTGAATGTCTCTTACACAGACTACTCTAAAAACACTACAAATGCATGCAAGTTCCATTTAGCAATTTTTGTTTGCCTAAATTCCCCCTGTGCCTTTTTTCCTGTAATCACTCTGCTGGCTGGAGTCTGATCTTATCCACAAAGACATTTGCTGGCAGGGACAAGATAAAATGGCTGAGTTCTTTTCTCCCCATGTGACCGAGCCTAGTACTAAAGCTTGTGCCTGCTATTCAACCAGAGATCCTTAGAGGATTTTGTTCATTCTGAAATTCAGATGATGGTATTTGAGCACGTTCACCTCCCCTGTTAGCCTCACCAGCAGTGCACAGGTATGATACAGGATAGTGTGAGAATGGGCAGAATCACCAGCAGTGAAGAAATAAGGCCTGAGAGAAGATACAGCTACTCTATTTACATCCCACATTCTTTTTCTGTACAGAGACACTGTGCAAAGAGTGAAAAATTCAGTCTTCATGAAACACTGTGAAAGTATCTTTAGTTTTAAAATATCTTTTCATTTGCAAAGTAAACAGGGCTCAAGTAAGACTTTTATTTCCTCTCCAGCTGATATGTTTGCAAATGAAGAGGGTGGACCAGAGCCTGACTGGGTGATTACAGAGCGTGAGCAGTTTTCAGATTTTCGTGATCTCAACAAGGATGGAAAGATGGACAAAGATGAGATCCAGCACTGGATCCTCCCCCAAGACTATGATCATGCACTAGCTGAAGCCAGGCACTTAGTCTACGAATCTGATGTAGATAAGGTATGTAGTGTTCCAGAATTGTTTTTAAGGAAGTTATATAAGGTGGTGTGGGTTTTTTAAAATACCAGCTTGCAAGAATTTATTCCTAATAACTTTAGAGGCTAAAATTGGTAGTGGCTTAATGTTTCCATGCCAGTTTCAGTTGGTAGTGTTAGAATTACAAAGTAGTGAAATACAGTTTATCAGCTCTTGAAGCTCCCCTGGCTTTCATTAGGTGAGAAACTATCATCTTAAGCCTGAACATTTTAACATAGCAAAAATACTATTTTTCCTTTAACAGTGGTCATGATTTATGTATGTTAATATAGACTAAAAGTGGAAAATAAAGGTACATTTAGATACCCCTTCTACTCAAGTGCAGAGGTAGCAAAACCACTCTCAGTGGTTTCAAGCTGAAACTTTTTGCTTAAACACTAGCTCTGATGAGGGACAGTATATTCCTGATGATGGTTTTCAGAAGTGTAATATAATACAAGCAAAGTGGGAACCTGAAAGCCAAAATACTCTGAACATAGAAAGTGTAAATTGCTAACATAAGCAACCATCTTCCACAAAGTACACCAGAGGATTTTTGTTTTTACTGTCAGGGAGGTGAACCAAACCACAGGGCAAAACAGTGTACCAGGTCATCCACTGTTACCCTGCTGTTCCTACTGCTTGGCAGTGAGTTCATAACAAAGAACTTTCAACTAGCAGTCTGACCCAGCTGAAGGCTGTGGGACTTCTGTCTTCCATTGAGGTCCAAATTTCACTCACTGTGACAGCTACGAACAATTGCTGAACCTGCAGTCTGCTGCTGTGAAGAACTGTCTGTTTCCCAGGGCTCTTGCAAGTCTGTGCTGGTGTGTTTTGACTTAGTTTTGAAAATATTCTTATAGAGTTTCTGTTTTCTTTCTACCAGGATCAAAAACTAACAAAAGAGGAAATTCTGGACAACTGGAATATGTTTGTTGGAAGTCAAGCTACTAATTATGGGGAAGACCTCACGAGAAACCATGATGAACTATGATACAATGTACCAGCCAGTGTGCCACATATCTTCTGTCCACTTTACTGAAATCACTGTGTCCATCTCCTCTTAGAGGGAAGATGGGCAAGGGACACTCACATCTGAATGACTTGCATTGATACTATTTTTAACATGCCAGCTTATTACCTCAGAAACCACATAGAAATAGCTTTCTTACTCCTTTCACATGGTTAAATACAGTATATAATTACTACAGGGTTTTTTTGAAAAAATAAGAAGGTAACTTTTCTGAATAAGTTAGAGCCTGACATGGAAAAGGCACTTCTAAAAATATTGCAAAGAGCTTTAATAGCCAAGTATTTTCTTCAAATACCCACTTTTACCATAGTGGAATGCACCTAGGATTAGAACCCTAAGGTTTAAACAGACTTAAGTTATTTAGTTGTCTTTTCTAATAGCATTGTAACAGTTCAGAGATAACCCTTTGAGCCTCCTACCCAGAGAAGAGTTTGATACCAGCTTTGTCTCCACACAGTTTCTGTGTCCCAGTTGGGTCAGTGGTGCTGCAGGAGTGCCCAGCAGTCCCCTGGCTCCTGCTTTAATGTGCAAGATGCAGGTGGCCCTTGTCCCTGACCCCGGCATTCCCAGCCAGGGATGCAGAGTCCAGCGTGGCAGCTGCTCCTTCTGACAACAGGGAAACGTGCAACTGTTTGTGGGTCCTTGGCTTTGCTGCTTCCTGGGAGGAATTGTGCCACATGGAGCATAATTTATCTCCTGCTTTTCACACTTTACCCAAGCCCTACTCTTGTTCACGCAGTGTGAATGGCAGCAGTTCTGTGATGGAGAAAGAATGAGACATATCACCCCTCTGGGCCTTCTGTCTCCTCTGCCACATAAGAGGACAGATTTTTGTGGCTGAAGTTCTGGGTTTGTGTGTATATACGTATAAGTACATGTTACTGAAGCAACTCTGAAGACAGCTCTCCTTCCAAAAAAGGGGGGAAGCTTTCCACACAGGTGCTTTCTTTTTTACTGTATAATGTGAGTTGTTACATGTATATTTTTATATACACAACTTAGATCTAAGTTTGGTTATTTTTAAATGTACTGGTTTTGAAATAAGCACAATAAAACCAATACTTCTTTTTGATACTGTGAAGGTGCAATAACACTAACACAGAGTAGCAGAGAGATGATGTGAAAACACGAATCATGCCAGTAGTTCCCAAAGCACTGGGGTGGTCATTTCCAAGAGCATCTGGGCATACAGCACCAACTGTTCTTTGTTGCCTCATTAAATAAAATAAAAACCAAAAAGAAGTGCAGTATACATAGTTGCTGTAACTAGAATTTGTTCTGGACACAAACTGGGAGATGAGGACTCCACAGCAGCATTCTCTGGGAGGTTCCTGGAAGGTCTGGTGTAAACATCACACCCTGGTCCCATAACCATCCAGAGGGGAGCTTCGAGACTCCCAGGATGTGAGACACTTCAGGAGTTCAACACATTTGTGAAAATCATCAGGAGACAGTGCAGAACTGTAACCTCTGTAAACAGTGTCATTTTTATAAGGTCATAGAACTGTGGTGGAATATTTTACATCTTAGAGTTGAAGATAATTAAATCTAGATTGCTGAGTCTGACAGAGATTACACGTGCTTGCTGGCACCACTACTAAGCTTTTGGGGTGCACTTCTTATGACATTGCCAGCAATGTCTGAAACATCCCTACTTCTCCCACTTACATAGAGTAGGGCAAATGTTATAAAAGTGAACTGGTTTTGCTTTTACAGTACCCTCAAGTTAAATAAAAGCCTAAATGCAGTGTTATCTGGGATGCAATAAAATTGTATCTTGGCACATGTAAATGATGATATATTTTGTTTCTGGCTTGGATTTGGAAAGGTTTATTGTACTCAATAATCATGGCAATCTATATCAAACTAACATATTTTACTAGCACATTTTCAGTACTCTCTGTGTACTCAGATTATCTTTGGCTGTTTCAGGAAACAATACCTTAAAAGACCTCGAAAAAAACCCGCTTGTTTCCTGCAAGTGAAGCTGCAGCTCAGACTGGATCCTAAGCCAAGGATTTTTACTGGAGCCCAGGGGAAGGTTGTTTGCTCACTCTTGTTGAAATTCAGTGGGAGTTGGGTGCTGAGACACTAAGCATTGTTGCCCTCAGCTAAACATGACACTTCCGAATGCACTGTGCACCGTCCCAACAAAAAACCACATCTGTGCTTTGACAAGCAATCACATTTTCTTCCACATTACTAAATGAATTTGGAACAGAATTAGCAGCACGCAAGAGAAAAATCGTGTTCTCGTATTTGTTCTTGATTCCTGTTACTGCTTGGAACACATTGGTGTTTTCCAGGATAAAACTATACTTTCATGAGTAAGAATGCTGAAATAAGAGGAGCTTTGCACGCACACAGTAGCTGAAAATTTAGATCCAGAAAAAGGTTTTCTTATTTTTCCCAAAAGAATGGTACTCAGCATATATCCAGCAAGGAAAAAGGCAAACATGCCAATTAGAATGAGGTTTAAAATAATCAAATTATTTATCAATAGTGGGTAATGGGGTCATATTAAGATTCAGGATCTTTTTTAATAAAGCAGAATGTTGAAACAATTATAGAAGACATAAGCTTCCCTGATGTGGTTTCATATTAAAGGCTCCCCTGTTTCTGCAGTTCTTCATGGTGCTTCTCTTACCAACATTCAGTAATGGCACAGTACATTCCATGCACTAAAATTCCCTTTCAAGCTCAATGCACTATGGAAGAGTAACTCCAAAAGAGACTAGAGCTTCTGGGTTTAAATTTAACACTATTTAAGGAAAGCAAACCTTTGCTAGGGGATATAACTGTTAACATTGTGATTTTTCAAGCCTAAGGTTTCTAATGGGGTTTGACTGTTCCAGAGATAACATTTTTTTTCCTAGGTAACATATTTCAACTCATATTACGAGCAAATGCTACAAAATTTTAGTGTAATGTGAAATACTGTAATGTCAGATAGCATTATTTATCTGCTTAATATGACTAAAACCATTAATTGCTGGGAGCCATACTTCATCCCAGCAACATGAAAATCCATTTTGTGCCTATCTTGTCAGTTATTGCCGATTTTCTTAATCAATTGTGACACAGGGAAATTCTGTTGGGAAGTGTGTTTATACATTTCCAGCTGCAGGTTCTGTGTGGTAACTTATTACATAGATCCTCCATTAACTCAGTGTTTTCACTATGCCCCTGCTACAATACATCAAAGGTGCATTTTTCTTGCTTAGATATCTGAAATAGCCATTATTATTGCCCATGCAGTTTTAATTATTGGAATTTATGAAATGAGCTAAGTGGCTAATGTTCATTGTCTTATAATTCCATTTAATGATTCAATCAGGTTGAATCTGTCTCCTATTCCAATAAAAGGTACTGTACATAACTCCCTGAAGAAAGGAGATCACAGCCCGTCCTGCTCTCGTTACACAGGTACCTTACAAAAGTTGAATAATGTTTTGTTATTTGCTGAGCAGAAGCTGATCTTGATCCCAGTGAAGTTACCATGAACTCCTAGTTCTAAGGAGTGTAAGAACTACTCTTAAGGCCTAGTCTAAGGTCTTGGCCACCCAAAGGCAAGCAGAAAAAGAGGGTGGTGGGAGTGGAGGTCAGAAATAACCTTACAAGCATCATATCCTGATCTTACTACCACTGAACATTAACATTTGGGAATTATACTGATTCGTGCTCCCATGAGATAGTTAGGGTGTAAGTCTAGTTCATGGAAGGCAGTGTGTAAAGCGTTTGTGGTCTGTCCAGGGAGCCTGAGGCATTTTATTGAGTCATGGTGGCATCACTCTTAGCAAATGCAGTGAGTTTTACAGAGTGGCAGAAGGATCTACAAAAAAAAAAAACAACAACATTTCATAGCTAAAAATTTTGTAAAACCTGACTTGGCCTATAGTCAAGCATCCACCATTTCTCTTTTCATCAATTCAAGTCTCCAATTCAGTGTATCCCATCCACTATGTCCAGCAAGCAACATACAACCATGTTCACTGATTTCAAAGGGAGACTTGAGGATTATTTCCCACTGAAGTTTCAGGCACCAGGCTGATGTCCCCGAGACTCAAGTGCTGTATAAATTATCCCAGTCATGATGAATTTCAAAGCAACCTCAGAAGAACAAGTTAGCAGCTTTCCCCTAGTGTGAAACAGTGAACAAGGAGCACACGTGTGCACGTGACACAACAGGCGATTTCACACCTGCATTCTGCCTCTCCACAGGAAAAAGGAAAACAGCTCCAACAGATGGGAGCATTTCCACACTATGGCAGTGATAAGAATACAATTCTCCTGGGTATGCATTACTATTCCTATTTATAAGTAAGGGATAGCCATCCTCAGCACGAGTGTTGGCTCTGAGGACAGCAGAAGAGGCAACAGAGCTCAGTGTTATATACTGCCTTTCCTGTGGAAGAATTTATTTCATAACCATAAAGGGTCCAAATATGGTCTGGTTGGCTAACTTTTGAAGTTTTGATCCTTTTAAGTGTCTCTTAGTTGGCCTCATTTGTAAAGTTGGCCACATTTGTGGTCTGAAACTACCACACACCTGAAATTCCAGAACAGCTGTATAGAACAAGTCATGGCATGATCCCAAATCTGAGTACTAATTAAGGGTGACACATACATTAGAAATGACAATGTTCCATCAAATCAACAAGAATTTGCATCGAGAGGCGTAGGAAATATTTGCTTCATATGGGAATAGCCTGACAGCCTTTAAAAAAGGACCAATGGGGGCACTAAAGGTGAAAAATTAGTATAGCTTTTGAAAATATACCTTAAAATAATTATTGTACTTACTGAACTCTTAAGAGCCTGCTGTTCTCAGGGCTTCTCAGGACATACCTTCTGTTGGATAAAAGTCAGTGAATTCAATGTTTCAGGAAGAAATAAAAGTGGGGATGAGTTTTTATCATTAGATCAAGTGTAGGATAACACAGATGTAAAGAACAGAGTATTGACAAGATGGGCAGGACAGAGATATCCCCCCAAATTACTCCCAGTGCCCCCCTCCAGCTTTAATATGGCTTTCACTGCATCACACAGGGCCTTGGTTGCTGGGACACAAAAGGAAGGAATGCTAGTTGAGAACCCATCAAATGACAAGTGCAACAGATTTCAGATGGCTAAAACTTGCTGAAATCTTTACATGGTAACATGTAAATGGTGAGACATTAAGGGAGCATCTTTTAAATTCGCAAGGAAATTCCACAGGCAGCAGAAATGAAGCAAAAGGAGTCCTGGAGAGATATCCTAGGTTACAACAAAACAAAAAACTCTTCAGTCCTGCTTTTAGCTTAGCAGATTTTGCATCAATTCCTTTGCTTTTTTAATTTATCCTTAAGTTTTAAACTCAGTTAATAGTACAGATGTAACTAGGAACAGTTTCATCAATTTCTGGGAACCCCCAAACCTCCCCAAATTGTTGATAACTTTTAATTGTTTTGTGCCAAAGAAATGAAGTTTTCACAGCTATTACATCTGCTCCAAACTGGATACAGCACAGTATAGTTAAACAAACATTCAAAAAAACTCTACAAATGCAAGGGACTTAAAAAGTATTGTTCCATTATTCTCATATATACTTATAAGCATAAATATATCTAACGTGAAACAGACTTATTTAGAGTTATACTGAGTTGGAATATTTAGTTTACTACAAAATAATTTAAAAGTTAGCTCTATACCAGAAAAATATTTGTATACTGTAGGCTAGAGAGTACTGTTTTCATGGAGACAAAAAATGCAGTAATTTACACTTGAGTTTAGTCAAACTGGAAAATGTTTCCTGCATGGATCTTTCTCTAGGGTAGCTGTATGGCCCATTCTTGAGCTAACAGTCAAACCCCATGGCTCTGTGCCAAGGCTGCCTACTCAGCTTCTTAATAAAAATGTTTATGTTAGATCAGCTCCATATGTGATGCGTGTTCTGGCTGTGGAGTTTGGGAACTTTAAATCATCACAAAACCATTATGAAATTATTTCAGTATAAAAAGG